ATTAAAACTATTACTTTTCGACAGGAAATAAGTTTTCAAATCTTATTAACGTTGATCATTTGGTTTTCATCACACATTCTCCACGGGAAATCCACCGTCAAGCAAAAAATTCATTTAAACCGTAGAAAATACGAAAACACGATAAAAAAATCTAAAGTCACAGTTATTACACAATAGGTCTAATACATCACTTTGTTTTGGTTGGTGCTCCTTTTATCTTGGGCTCTTGTAAAATGTATTCCCATTTATCTCGTACCCTTTGTATGTGAGGATACGTCATGATGGTCGCCTAGCCAACAAATACGATTGCTCATCAATACTCTCATCACCCCGATATTCTTTTCGTAACCAAATCGTGAAAGTTTCCATGTCTTGACACGTAATCCAAGCTTCTTGCACTTCCACGAAAACTCGGATCGGAGCAACTCTTTATTTGTCTCGATATACGGATCCACCAAGGAGGAGTTTTGTAGAACTGTGTAGTGTGCTTTATTAAAATAATTATCCTGCGTACCAATATATGTTTTCTTCCCTAGTGTCCCCTTTCCACTTAGTCTCCCCTCGTGCCGCGATTTAGAAACACCAATCGGGTTAAGGTCAGGAATAAAGTCAACACAAAACTCAATGACCTCCTCTGTTCCATAGCCCTTGGCGATCCTTCCTTCTGGCCGAGTACGGTTGTGAACATATTTCTTTAGGACTCCCATGAACCTCTCAAAGGGGAACATGTTGTGCAGGAACACAGGACCTAGAATGCTAATCTCCTTGACCAGGTGAACTAGAAGGTGTGTCATGATATTAAAGAAGGAAGGAAGGAACACCAACTCAAAACTGACAAGACATTGAACCACATCATTCTGTAGTTTAGCTAGATCCATTGGATAGATTGTCTTCTGAGAAATTGCATTGAGGAATGCACATAGCTTCATGGTGGCTAGATGTACATTTGGAGGTAGAATTCCTCTTAATGCAACTGGAAGCAATTATGTCATGAGCACGTGGCAGTCATGGGACTTTAAGTTTAGGAATTTCTTCTCTGGCACATTTATTATACCCTTTATATTCGAGGAGAATCCAAATGGTACCTTGATGCTTGCTAGGCATTCAAACATGCTTTCCTTCTCTTCTTTGCTAAGAGTGTAGCAAGGCGGGACTTAAGTAATGGCGTCCATCATCCATCTTCTCTGGATGTAGATTGTCTCGTTCTTTCAAACACCGCAGTGTCTGTCGTGGCTTCAAGTGTGTCCTTAGGCTTCCCATACACCCCATGAAGCCTAGCAGTTCACACAAAGATTCTTCATCAGGTGCATCACGTCGATCGCGCTACGGACCTCTAGGACTTGCCAATAGGGTAGCTCCCAAAATATGGACTTCTTCTTCCACATGGGTGCGTGACCGTCAGCGTCGTTTGGAACAGGTTCACTGCCATGTGCCTTTCCAAATACTACTTTCACATCCTTGACCATATTGAGTACATCCTCTCCAGTTCGGTTGCCCGGCTTGGTCTGGTGGCCTGCCATACCTTTAAAATGCTTGCCTTTCTTTCTTAGGGGGTGATTCGCAGGAAGAAATCGACGATGGCCAAGGTACATGACCTTTCGACATTTTTTCAAGAATATACCTTTAATGTCATCGAAACAGTGCATGCATGCATTATATACCTTGTTTGATTGTCCTGAAAGATTACTTAGAGCAGGCCAATCATTGATTGTTATGAACAACAATGCTCGTAGGTCAAAGTGCTCCTATTTGTGCTCATCCCACACACGTACACCTGGTCTATTCCACAAAAGTAGAAGTTCTTCAACTAGTGGCCTCAGGTACACATCGATGTCGTTGCTAGGTTGCCTTGGGCCTTGGATGAGCACTGACATCATAATAAACTTACGCTTCATGCATAACCAGGGCGGAAGGTTGTAGATACATAGAGTAATAGGCCAAGTGCTATGACTACTGCTCTGCTCCCCGAAAGGATTCATAGCATCCGTACTTAAAGCAAACTTTAAGTTTCTTGCGTCATTTGCAAACTCCGGGAATTCTCTATCGATTGCTCTCCACTGGGACCCATCAGCAGGGTGTCTCAACATATTGTCTACCTTACGGTCTTCTTTGTGCCATCGCAACAAGTTTGCATGGTCTTTGTTTCTGAACAAACGTTTCAAGCATGGTATTATAGGAGCATACCACATAATCTTGGTAGGGATTTTCTTCGTGGGACGTTCGCCCTCAACATCACCAGGGTCATCTCGCTTGATCTTATACCGTGATGCATGATGTACCGGGCATGCATCTAACTTCTCGTACTCCTCACCATGGTAGAGGATGCAGTCATTAGGACATGCATGTATCTTCTGGATTTCTAATCCCAAAGGGTAGACTACCTGTTTTGCTTCGTACGTAGTGACGGGCAATTCGTTATCCTTCGGAAGCATCTTCTTTTGGATTTTCAGTAACTCCCCAAATCCCTTGTCAGATACACCATTCTTTGCCTTCCATTGCAGCAATTCTAGTGTGGTACCTAACTTTTTCTGTCCCGCATCACAAGTTGGGTATAGCAATTTCTTGTGATCCTCTAGCATGCGCTTTCGAACTTGATCTTCTCCTTTTCACTTTCGCATTCTCTTTGTAAATCACGAATGGCTCTGCCAAAGATCATCAGCCGGGCTCATCTTCTATCACTACCTCTTCTTTAGCTTCCCCATTGCAAATATCATTGAAGGCACCATATTCAAAGAATAATGTCATCATCGTCCCATTGTTCTTCTTCACCTTCTTCTATTACAACCCCAGTTTTTCCGTGCTTCGTCCAACAAATATAGTTTGGCATGAAACCTGACTTCAACAAGTATGAATGAAGACTCCTTGAGCTAGCATATTCCTTCAAATTCTTACATATGGCACATGGGCAGCACATGAAACCATCGCGTTTGTTTGCCTCGGCCACACGTAAGAAAGAATGCACACCCTCAATGAGCTCTAGGGAGCGACGATCAGCATTGTACATCCAATGCCGGCTCATCTGCATTACACGACATACATACCATATTAAAACCTAGAACATAATTAGTTAATTATATGACATGCATGCCACCACACAAGGTATTAATTTATGAAAGTCTCGCTACAATGTAGACAATCCCAACTACCAGTAGAAAAACTAAAGCTAAAATGCACTTCAGCAGCATAAGAATTTCACGACCAATCCCAACTAAAACAGACAGATCATGCATTTGTTCAACATCTATGGGCTTTTTCCGCAGGATCACTACCTCATCAGCCGCCGTAGCCGCCTGTGCAAGAGAGTTTTGCACGTGTTCAACATACTCTTCCTCCCAATTACCAGCTGAACATCCAAAGGTCATCCCAATTTGAAATTAAAACAAAAATTAGAACTTTAATCACAATCATCATGAAAATAAGTATAAATTATCCATAATCATCAAATGCGACAAAATAACTCACATTGTGATCCGAACACTTGTAGAAGATACGGCCTTTGTTGGGACACTCCTTCCTCACCCGGTACTCCATCACAATCTTCTCCTCACACTTGCTGCATGCAATGAGAGGGAGGTCCGGCCTCAGTCACTTTGGAACCTGATGAGAGGCCAAGGACCCAGAAGCAGTTGCCATCTACTCTCTATACTCATTTTTAATATAATATAAATTTCTCATTTTATAAACAAATAAAATTAAAAAAAACTCTAAAATTCTCTATATCTCTAAACCATGAAGTTTGCTATGCATGCTAGAAATGAAAGCTTAATACTAGTTTTGAATAACTACTTTAACCTTCCTTTATCCAAATATGCAAACTTTAAAGTGATTTTGAGCTTAAATGGCTTACAAATAAAAAAATTCCACCATAAAAAACCACATATATCTAGTCTACAAAATGAGATATGCTACTGATAAAATATGAGAGTATAAAGTTGGTAACCTTTATAACCGAAGAATCGATGGAGGAATCGAAGAAAATCTTATGATTACCGGCGATGAGGAAGAAGAGAGGCCGGCGATGAAGCAAGAAAACACTGAGCTCGAAGTGGCTCGGGCTCGCGGAGGAAGAAAGGCTATATAGGAGGAGAACTGTAGTCCCAGTTGGAGACAGAAACCGGGACTAAAGGTTCCTTTCTAGTCCCGGACGGAGCCTCCAGCCGGGAGTAGACTTACTCCCGGTTGGAGGTACCAACCGGGAGTAAAAGTTAACCTTTAGTCCCGGTTGGTAGCTTCAACTGGAACTAAAGGTCCCCTGCAGTAAAAGCCTGCCGCAGTAGCCGTTGGGCAGGGACCTTTAGTCCCGGTTGGAGCTACAAACCGGGCTAAAGGTCTCTCTACTCCCGGGCACAAGAAATACCAGGACTAAAGCCAAATTTTGAGGCGAGATCAAAGGTCGTTTCTCTACTGGTGTCTCTACTAGTTGTATAGTATTTAAAACAGGAATCCTTGAACAGGCTTTGGGCCGCCCATGATAGAAACGTCTCCATGATGCTATATGTGTTTTTTTTTAACGGTATTACTCCAACCGTTCCGAATCTTGGTTGTCTCTCTGTGTGTGTCTATATATATATATATATATATATATATATATGTAACGAGTGGGCTATATCACATTTAATTTGTGTTTACATGACATGTCAACTTTTATACTATCAGTTGCATCGACTACACGATAGCCTGTTATTATTGTAGTATATTATTACAAAATGAATGTAGATATACTATCAGTTGCATCGACTAAACGATAGCCTGTTATTATTGTAGTATATTATTACAAAACGAATGTAGATATACTATCAGTTGCATATATTGACTGATTGATCTGGGGAAGCAGCCGGCCCGGCCACACGGTATATGCATATAGATACATGTATATCTTTTCACTGATAATAATAAGGAGAAAGTCAATGCAGCAGGTCTCATGCTGTAGTTTGATATATATGGGTGCAGCAGGTCGCAGGCAGCTTAATTGGAAGGCCGCCCGCTCTGGTGGATCGACCATGTTCTGGCTCGGAATGATGCTGACCATGATTTTGGCACAGTCGGTGCAGTGGTGGAGCGAATGGGGGTTCCGGATCACTGTCGTCTCGAGCTTAGGGGCAAATCTTGTCGTCGGCATCCTGTCCGGGACACGGCGGCGCTCGGCGTCCCGCTGGTTGTGGGCGTTACTAGGCGAGGTGGCTAAGTTGTTCGTCTGGCTTGCGTACCAGGTCGCTGAGGCAGCGGCGACGAGCGCACTCGGCAGCCTGTCCCTCTGCGGCTCCGATGCGTCGGAGGAGGAGAAGCAGGTGGTCGCGTTCTGGGCCCCGTTCCTCCTGCTGCACCTGGGCGGCCCGGACAACCTGACCGCCTACGCTCTGGAGGACAACAAGATCTCCAACCGCAAATGGCTTGAGATAGGCGTTCGGATTCTGGTGGTCATTTATACCATCTACAACAACACACATCGCGGCGGCCGCAGCTGGGCTTTGCTGCTCGCGGCGTCCGTCGTCATGCTCGTCGCCGGCGTCGTCAGGTACGTGGAGAGGGCTTACGCCCTACGGAAAGCCAACTTGGACAGCATGCAGGAGGACGCCTCGTCAAGCAGCTGCAAGGACGACGACTTTAAGATGCTGAAATGCAGAATCAAGAGGACGAAGAGGCAGGGGCTGTCGCTCCGCGACGGAGAAGCGCTGCTCCTTGCTCAGGATCTGTTCCCCATCTGGCGCCATGCCCTGGTCGATTCTTCTGTCGAACCAGCTTCTATTTCACCAAGGCAGGAAGCCAGCGAGATGATACTCTCGGAGTGGGACTGGGAGAGCATGTGCAAGGTGGCCGAGATGGAGCTGTCTCTCATCTACGAGTTCCTCTACACCAAGGCGATCCTGGCACACACCTGGCACTACTACCTCATCCGCTTGTTGTCGCCCCTCTTCACTGCTGCTGCCGCATTTCTCTTCTGCTTCTGGCATCATCCTGATAAGCAGCAGCAGGGCGATGATGGCCACCGGGTCAGGGGATCCTTTGTCGGGATCACCTACGCCTTGCTGGCCATTACCTTCCTCATGGATGTGGCATGGCTGATGAGGGCCCTCGGGTCGACATGGGCGTACGCCTACTTCCAGGCCGCCGGAAGAAGATGGTGGTGCAGCATCCACCGCATCGTCGTCCGCCTGGACCCGTTGCAGCTAATCTGCCGCGATCCGGTCAGCCACAGGCGGTGGTCGGGCACCATCGGCCGGTACAACTTGCTGGACGAGTGCACTCAGGCCCGGCCCTGGAGGGGGGCAAACGGGGCAGCCGCTCCAGGCCCCCAGATCAAGGGTGCCCAGGTATGTACGATGTATATACGTATTGACATCCACCTTGAAAGCTAGTAGCTGCTAGTGCTAGAAAGTAGCAGCCCGTAATAACAATCTATATTTATTCATTATACTTTGTTTCAGTTGCTTCTTTTGTCTGTTTATTAAATTTCAACACCACCATGTTATGTCAAAAATAGTCTTCCAGAAATGAGAAAATGAGACCAAAAAGAGTAAGAAGAAATAAGTAAATGAATTAATGAGTCAGAGAGTATCCATTATAAATCTTTTAAGAGTCATACAAGCTAAGAAATCTATATGAAACATATTTTTTTTGCCAAACCAGTTATGATAGAATAGCTCCTCAAGAGGAGATCCTTAAAACCCACTCTTATAGAAGTAAATGAATTAATGAGTCAGAGAGTATCTATTATAAATTTAGTACTATTGATATGATTTTTATATTAAGAGGGCCTGAGTTTGAGTTTGGCTCTAGGGGTCAACAATCCCAGGACCGGCACTGAGTGCACTGCCACCCCTACGACTTGTCCAGAGTGGTGGCCGGTGTCCATGCCTGGAGACGACAGACCCAAGGAGTTGCGGTATCTGTCTAAGCTTCCTCAATGCGTAAAGAAAGTGCTGTTCGAGCGAGTGACGGAAATATTGCAGCAGGCCATTATTAATACTCAGGAGAAGGACGAGGAGAAGAAGAAGAAGATGTACACAAGGTTGGACATCAGGACACGCTGGGGCCACAAGGCCTTCAGCTGTGCACCTGAGCAAGTCAAAAAGAAATTAAAAAAGGACGAGCAAGTCAAAATGAAATTAGAAAAGGACGGCCACAAGGCCTTCAGCTGTGCACCTGAGCAAGTCAAAAAGAAATTCGAGGAGGACGTCCTCTTGTCGCATCTTTTCGGCGAGGAATTCGAGGAGGACGTCCTCTTGTGGCATATCGCCACCTGCATGTTCCTGGTCCTGGTCCTCCCGGGCATCCGACACGGACAGAAAGGAAGGAGAAGAATACTTGCGTGGGCAATTGAGGTGATGTCGGAATACATGATGTTCCTTGTTGCTGTTCGCCGACAAATGCTACCTGGCCTTGTCCTCCACAGCCAGTTGCAGGTAACCCGCGGCAGATTGGTTGACGTATGGAATAAGCGTGACCCTAGTAAGAAAGAAGAGCTTGCCATGATCCTGCGACGGATCGCGGTGGCCGGCCCGACTGTGCCATTGAGTGATCAAATTAAAGGCGACGAAGGTACGCAACTTCTCCTGCATGCACAAGGCCTTTATTTTTGCCTATCAGGCGACAAGCGACCTACTACAGTAGAAAGCCGAGCTACTCCGTGGGTATCAGATGAGATGCTGGAGTTCATCTTCAATGTGTGGGTGGATAAGCTGGTGTACGCGGCCGTCCGGTGCAGCAGGGAGGCCCATGCCAAGCAGCTTTGAATTAATATACACCGCAGGTACACATGTTAGGTGAAACCTTTTCTTATATATGTTTGGTGTCTGTCAGCATGCGGGCACTGTTAACTGATTGATGCTGGGAATGATAGTTAATTGTTAGAAAAGCCTTCTTGAATTAATATACACCGCGGGTGCACATGTTAGGTGAAACCTTTGCTTATATATGTTTGGTGTCAGCATGCGGACATTGTTAACTGATTGATGCTGGCAATGATAGTTAATTGTTAGAAAAGCCTTCTTGAATTAATCTACACCGCGGGTGCGCATGTTAGGTGAAACGTTTGCTTATATATATATATGTTTGGTGTCTGTCAGCCTGCGGGCATTATTTTCTTCTTTTCAGTTCCTTTTTTACTTTCATGTACATATTATTCTTACATTTAATGGAAAAGTAGAAAAATAGGTAGGGGACTCACCTGCTAATTTGGTCAAAAAAAAAAATGCGGGCATTGTTAGTCGATCGTCCTTAGTTATATTAACAGGGCAAAAGAAGTATTTTAATGGGGACGGGGATCCCGATTTTCTGTCAGGTAGAGGTAACTATCGTTGTGACGAAGAATGACACACCGATCCGGCTTCAGATCAAATGATCGAACCCTGCAATCTTAGCACCACAGCTCCTCTAGTTATCAACCGAGTCACGGACCAGGTTGACCTCGCCACGAAGGCTAATCCCTTCCTGCGCAACGAAGAACACAAGCAAGAACAAGAAAGAACGCAACCAAATTGTAGATGAATGATTAATCTCACGAAGTTGGGGTCTCACAAACCAATGAACGGCGAAACTGTTCTTGATAGAATAATCTAAGCAAAATCCAAAACCTAATGACAGCGGTGGCATATTATTATAAAGGTCTTGGGGTCGTCGCCTACCCTTGACGCGCCCCTTAATGGGCCCAAACACGATACACGGTCCAACGGACCAAAAGACGGTGTCGCAGCACCCTGACAGATTCTGGATGCTGAATTGTTTCGACGATTACCATTGATTCAGAAGGGCTTTTGATGTGAGACCACTTGGATTGGCTTCCTTATCAAATTAGTTTTCCAACCATATGTGGATCGTCGAAAACAGAGTCCGGATGCGTCCTAGGTGACCAGTTTAAGGCAGACTGGTCCTGAAGGCCGAGGCAGACTCGAACTTGAGTTGCTTTGGGCCTCCACCTCGGTGACTCAAACCAAATTAGCCTCGGGCCTCCTTCTTGAATTGCACACCCTTGCTGGCCTCCTACCCCTCCATACTATGCATCAAACATGGTCATATGCATGGGTGTCATGTCCTCATCATACTTGGCTTGATGTTTGGATATGACATGTGATGAGATCCTAATATAGGGTAATGTTAAGCCTCGGGATCAAATGTTTCCGACCGAAAGACCCCCCGACCGACCTTTCAAGGATTGCCCTCGGGTACGCTAGCACGTACCCTTAGGAAAAAGAATCAGGCAGAGCCAGAGTGCGCCCGCCGCCTCTGCTCGAGGCTCGGGGGCTTGCCCGAGCCTTAGGCACCCGATCGACGGAGGCCTGGGCCCCATCCTTAGCTCCCTCCGGGCCTTCGGCGCTAGCCAAGGCCCGGGCATGAGAAGGTGCCCGGGGGCTTCCTAGCGCTGCCCCGCGGGCGTGGCTCTATCAACCACTCCTCCGACAGGGTCACGCACAGGGCATGACGCAAGAAGACAAACTCCTCCGCTGGCTTCAGGGGCTCAGGGGCTTTCGGATCCACACGTCAGCCCCTCATGCCGGCCTCCTTTGCCACCAAGAAGCCTCTAGAAGGTGCACTTGGTGAAGGCCGGTCCAAGCTAGCACATTCTGACACTCAGCGTGTCAGAACAGAGCAGCCGAATGACGCCAAGAGCTTCTTTGGCTCCACGACATCGTCACGGTCCACACGGCACCCTGCAAGACCCTCCTGGACTTCGGCGCATGTAGACCATAGGCTCAACTCCCCCAAACCACCATGTACCCACCTACCTCGATATATAAGGGGAAGGTCGGATCCTAAGAGGGGAGAGCATGATTCTAGACAGATCATTTGAGTCCTCATTGTTTAGCTCATGCTCTACACCGAGAGTAGAGCAACCCAGAGAGGGGCACTGAGAGCTCCTCCACCGCTCTCGTCGTCTTCCTCCTTCCGATGAGGGGGAAGGCTCCACCAGCAGCGAGGCGTCCCAGAGGATCAACACTGAGCGGTCTCCTACCAAATCTCTCTCTTTCTCTCTTACACTCTGTTGTGACCCCCCGATTTTGGGTACTCTTGAGTATAAGGATCATCAGCTGCTGGACGTAGGGCACCGACAGCCCGAACCAGGATAAACAGTTGCGTCCCTTCTGTGATTCTTGTGTTCTTAAGTCCACCCGAGCCACCGGAGACACACACTCTGACACTACCACGAACAACAATGCTTGCCTGATTTTGACCCCGCGACAACATGGTCTCCAGTAGATACCTTTAATTTAATTTTGATGTGGATTGGATAGTGGTAACCATAATCATATATTTGCGAAACAATTCATATATATAAGAGTAAAATTAATGCACCATGAGTCCTTAAACTTTTCATGGATTCCCACTTGGGTCCTCGAACTAAAAAAAGTGACCATCTGAGTCCTCAATCTAGTGTGGACTTTCATCTGGGTCCTCCTACTAAAAAAGTGACTATTTAGGTCCTTCAACCAATTAATGTCACACCCGAGTAGAGGTCGATATCTCACCATGTCAACTCTATAAGCCTATGTGGTTATGCCAGAATGGATAGGGCCAAGTGATACTTGCATGAAACCCTTCTCCTCTCTCTCCTCCCTGTCCACTCCCTCCCGTGCCTCCCATTGGTTCGGCACCTGACTCGTGACCACGCCTGTGTGCTCGCCTGTGCTTTGGAGGCACACACTCAGCACCCATGCAATAGAAAAGAGAGGTGGACTCTGGAATGTGTCCCCTATCTCTTGCGGTCCACCTTTCTTGCATATATCACTTGGCCCCCACGCTGGCAAAACCACGTAGGCTTGTAGCGTTGATGTGGTGAGATATGGACCTCTAGTCGAGTGCAACATTAGTTTAAGGACCTAAATGGTCACATTTTTGGTTGGAGCACCCAGAAGTCGATTGAGGACCCAGATGACCACTTTTTTAGTTCGAGGACCCAAGTGGAAATCCATAAAAAGTTTAAGGAGCCATGTATATATACCAAATATAGTGTGGGTAGAAGGTAGCCCACGGCCAGTGTGTCATCATTTAGCTAGCGCGGTGTGATTTTTAGTGGTGGAGTGGTTGGCTGGTGCTCCGATCCGAGCCACAGGCTTGCCTTATTAGATCCCATTCATGCTACCAGCAGCTGTGTCTTGTCAGCTACTCGATCGATACAAATAGAGATCGAGTGTCGAGGGAGTGCGGAAATCTGCTTCTGATGAGTCCCTCCGACATGGTACTCAACCAACGTACGTAGATACTGATCCTCCATTATCATCATCATCGACTAGCAGAGAGCAACAGGAAGCGAGGTACATTATTATTAGACTCTTCTTAATAACCTGCTTCTATCTAGCTACGTACTGCTTGTTTCCTTCAGTTATATAAGTCAAACTTCCATGCATATGCATGCATGCACACATCAATTTCAATTTAATTCATGATATTGACCAGCCTGTGTCAAAGACATCATTTATGCCGCATGCATATGATCGACGACGCCTTCTGTCTCCATTTCATGTCACTCTTATATATAGAGTCTCGTCCTAGAATTCAGTTTGTGCTGCTGCTAGCTAGTGCTCGTAGCTACTACCACACTTGCTTGTGAAGATGCTGTTTGGTTCGTTCGGCGGCCACAGCTAGCTTAGCTGATTCTAGTTCATTTTGCTACTACCACACTTGCTTGTGGCGCCGATGGATTTCGTCCTAGGCGTGGCGGGCAGTGGCCGGTAACCAAGCACCCAGCAATCTATGCCTACGGCAGGCTGTGCATGTCGTTGAGTACAGTTTTATGCTGTTTTCCATTCTTTCAGCTTTATTATGTTTTTTTTCATCTGTACATGTCATTAAGTACAGTTTTACCATATGACTTAGCAATTTGCATCATTTCCTGGCTTTTGTAACCTCAATGCATATCTAGCTCACAGACTAAAACCTGACAGCTGAAATATATATAATGTCATCCTTTAGAGATGACAGCAATATTTGGTTTGGACCACAATACAAAGACTTAATTATTCCATCAACCAATTTCACCTTAATTTGCAAAGAATCCAAAAAATATAACAGTTATTCAGTCCTTGGTCTCGCTCTCTGCATCTTGCTAATTCCCGTCCTGTCCGGTTAATCCTTCGAACTCTATAAAAAATGTTATAGCAGTTTTTACAATTGCGAAAGTCATTATTTTTTACTGAAAACATGTTTTTTACTGATAGTTTTGCTTATGTGTGACTGAATATCTTATACTTATGACGTACTTTAAATAGACTGTAGACATTAAGTTTTTCTTATTATTTGTGATGTAAATTTTATGGTCACATTCAGCCTTCTGTACTCGCCGATGGTATTAATTATTTGCAATCAAGCTACTGCAACTTTTGTCCCCGCACAAATATGTTATTCTTTGTTGTTAGGCCTTTATGTACTGTTGCGCTCACACTTTATTATGTATAATTAAAACGCTTTAACTTTTTTTTGTCGACACATAGAATCTAGTACTTGTGATTAGACAACCTTGGTTACATAAGGTTTTTGTTGTACAATGTACCACCTACCCAAAAGTACCACCTACCTGTCTGCGTTTTCAAAAGATTCACGGGATCATGTTGGGAAAACATAATGTATTGGTGACCGGGGAGAGAGTACCTTTTCATGCATGTGGATGGTAGGTAATAATTAAATTAGATACCCTAGCCCAGTGTCGACCTTAATGGTTGCGGAGTGCTAAGCATTTTTTTGGGCTTAAACATAATTAATCAGCACAATTGGACGACGAGCTTAGCTTGAGAGCGCGCGG